CTCACGGGCCCAGCCGCTCCGCGGCACGTGGGATCTTCGCGGACCGGGGCACGAACCCGCATCCCCTGCATCGGCAGGCGGACCCTCAACCACTGCGCCACCAGGGAAGCCCCTCCAGGCTAGATTAATCATTAAATGTTTTCTTTTTTTTTTTACTGAACTTAAAACAGAGTTAAAATATTTTTGTGGGCCCCTAACCATGCCATGGGCCCTATACCCTGTGTCTACTATGTCCAATGAATAAGTCCACCCTGGCTCCTTTAAGTTATCCTAGGAAATGAAACCTAGAGAATAAAACTAGAAGGAGAGAATGAGGGTGAGCATGAACAGAGCCTAAGTTGTCCACAGCAAAAGTGAAATGAGCATGAACATAGCCTAAGCTGTCCACAGCAAAAGTGAAATTTCTTTGAAGCTTTGTGCATTAGCTTAAAGTTATATTCAAATATTGCAAGAAGTATGTTTAAAGTTACTTCCCATCAGGGAAAACTAAGGAAAACAAAACTTCTTACCTGAGTCACTGGTCAGTGGATAAGATGCAATTGCAATGAGTTGATTCTTCTCTGAGAGTTGTTACTCAGGAATTCCCTGCTGAGGGAAGCAGAATTAAGTGTACACACAAGACATTGATCAAGGGCAGTTGCAACAGGAAAGTAGAACCAATTTATGAGAAAGAATATTTTCATTCTGAGAGTTCTAGGTTTCTATTTTGTCAAGGGGGGAAGAATGAAAGCAGAAGGGAGCTGCTGTTATTTTTCTCAGGATCTAATTCTGAAAAAGAAAGTATATGAATTTGAGAGTCTACAGTTTTAAGTAAGGGTCTACACAGTATAATAATAGCAACTTTAAATAGAATCCGGGGAATTTCCTGGTGGTCCAGTGGTTAGGACTCGATGCTCTTACTGCCGAGGGCCCAGGTTCAATCCCTGGTCAGAGAACTAAGATCCTACAAGCCACACAGAGTGCAGAATGAATAAATAAATAAAATCCAAGAATCAGAAACCCCGAGAATAGGAGGGGCAGATAACAGAGATTCTTGGGGAAGCAAAGAGAGCCATTCTAGGGCATTCTGAGAGACAATAAAATAAGGTGAAGCAGTGTTGGGTGTCTGGAGCCAGGGATCCCAATCAGGGATCAAGGGCCAGGAGTGTGGAGCAACTCTCCTAGGGCAGTGATAACTTTGAACACCATCCTTGAGGTGGAGATTACTTCAACTGAACCTAACTCATGATATTTTGCTAGACTTTGGGTACAAGTATTTGATGGATAATGTTTTAGTTTTTCATTTGTGCTTAATAGTTTACATATTAAAATAATAATTCATCAAAAACTTTCCATATTGTCAAACAAAAAAGTCCTTCATTCAGTTTGGAATGACATGATTTGCTTCATTTGAACCCTGATTTTCTTTCAATGTTCACACTTCACAAAGATTATGGGGGAAACACTTATATAATTAATCCTCACCATGACCATTTTCAAATATTTAGAGCTACCAAAAAAGAAAAATCTTAAGAATGGAAATAGTGGATTTCTGGATTTCCTGTTGTAATAAGAAGTTAAAGTCAAATTGGGATGTACTTAAATTCCAAAACAAATACTCAATTATTTATACTCAACTTAAAGACTGTTGGCACTGAAGCACTTGTGTAGGCAAAGACTTCCCAGAACCTGAGGCATTAATGATTCAGAGAAAAAAAAAAAAAAAAAAAACTTAAAGAATGATGGTCTTCTATTCAGGAGTAATTCTCAGGGGATTTGAGTCAATGCAAGGTCTCAAAGAGAAGATGGTGAAAGAGTAGCCCGCTGTACTCTCTATTTTTCTCAAAGAGCGTGTACCGTTCCCCCCCTTCCAAGCTTTACCCCATGAGAGGTGGAGAAGGAGGGAAATAATAGTCAGTCTACCAGTTCCTGCTCTTTCAGACGCCTGAGGAACGAGGCGACCTAATGACTTTAGCAGCAGTCCTCCAGTTCCAATACACAAGTCTGATCGTTGGATCTGGGGAGATTGGAGTGGCTGCAGGGTTCTTAGGGAGTACTTTGCACATGAAGAACAAGCAATATAGATTGTTTATGCCAAACATTCCTGACCTGTGGCAGTTTCACTCTCACCTGCATAAGTCTAATGTAGGTCACATAGCATTAAACATTCATCTACAATTCTAGCCATTAAGCTTGCACTACATCCATCACAGAGAGTGAATTCTCTGATGACCAGCCATTAAGCGAGGTAGTACAGGGTTTAGGATCAAACCACCTGGGTTCAGATCTTGTCTCTGTTACTTATTAGTTGTACAGCCTTAGGTAAGTGGCCTAGCTTCCTTAAGCCTCCAGTTTATATCTATAAAATGGAGATGACAATAATAATACCTACATCAGAAATATCTAATGAGGATTAAATGAAATAATCCATATCAAAGTTCTTAGCTCATAGCACCTGGCAAGAATAAGAGTTCAAAGTTGGATATTAGCCACACTGCTTGTTATTCCAGGAAACGGCACTTCAGGACACGTCTGTTATGATGGCTGAGGCCATCTGTATATTACACAGAAAGAGCAGGGACAAAGGAGAGTTCCTCCATGCCCCTGCCAAAAGCAACTTGAAAGTTCAACGTTCAGTGGCAGTGAACAAGATGTAAAGGTCAACAGCCATTTCCTCTGGAACCTGGCTAGTAATCTGACGTCTGGAAATTGGCTCAATTTGTGGGTAGAAATAAACAAATTTTCTTCCCTGTGACCTTACAAACCAAACTTCATTCTAACCCTCGTTTCTTCCTAATCCCACTTCCTCAAAATTTATAAAATAATTTCCTCACATAAGCCCATGTGGTACTTTTTGGGTGTATCCTAAATTGCAAGGTTATGAATCATTGTACAAATGCTAAATATTTCTATTCCATTGTAGGATTTAATAACAATGATAAAGAAGTGCTCTATATTAAAAAGAAAATTAACCTCTTGATTTCAAATTCTGGCCTTTCTTTCCTTTCACAGACCACTTCTTATTCCACAGCATGTTACTATACTATTATTTATAAAGCATTCTTAGTCAATATTTATTTGATTCAAAATCATTATAAAGGCTAGAGTTGTTGCGCCCTAATTTCAGTTCTACATGTTTTCCACCATACACAATTTGTTTCAAACAAAATAGAAAGATCCCTACCCCCACAATCACTTTGCTTTTTCTTTTTTACAATAGGTCATTTCATAAGTGTTCTTTAAGGCCTCTCAGAGACGTAGAATCAAGGAGCATGAGAAATGAAGTCTGTTTCACAAGTAGTATCCAGCTCTATTCATTGAGGCTACTTGAAGAATTTTTTTTAAATCCCTTGCCTCAAGCCTGTGCTTCTATCCTTTAATTTATGCTGCACACCACCTAAATTGAAGTTGCCCAAATACCCATTTTCTAAATTATTCATTCTCTCTCGCTATTAGTAGCCTGGTCACAGAAATACTGTGAAAGTTTTAGCATAATCAAGCAAACACTTTGCTCTATTCCTATTTCAAAAAAAAATATTCATTGAATACTTCCTGTTTCAAGCGTTCTGCTAGGTGTTGCTTATATAGTGATGAATAAAACAATTATAGTCTCACCTTCATGAGGCTTATCATTTAGTTGTGAAATCAGACATGAGACAAATAAACACAAAAATAAATATATAATTACAAATTATAGTGAGCCAGAAAGAAAGAAAGAAAAGACAGAGGGAACATATGTGATTATAACAAGGAGGCACCCAATTTACGCTGAGGGAGTCAGAGAAGATCTCTCTAAAAACAGAATATGTTATTTGAAAGCTAAAGGATTCACAGAGTTTAGCTAGGAGAAGATTTGGCAGGGGGGGTGGGGGGGGGGCAGTCTTCTAAGCAGAACACATGCAAAGGCCCTAGGACAACAAAGAACTTGCCACATTAAGAAACTGAGGAAGTCTAACATGGTGGAGCTTAGTGAGCAATGGGAAAAATCCTGTAATATGGACTTGACCTCATATACCTCTTCCGAAATCAATTTTTTTCTTTAATCCGGAATGTCTATTCAAAAAACCATATTGCTAGATAATTTACAGTCTGGTTTCAAATTTCAAATTCTCATCAAAATTATATTACAAATAAACCTGTACTCAAACCTGCCAACTTCCACACTCCCATTCACCACTCCCCTAAGGTCTGTCCCTACTAAATGATGCTTACATTTTAAAAATTATTTATCGAATGATCTAAAATTAGTGGAGTAGAAACATGAAACAATTTTTGTTTTACTCCTTTTCACCATGCACTATAAAATCTCTCTTTCCTATATTTTAACATATTAAGCAGATTTCATAGGTTGGTGGTCACATCCAGCTGTTAATGTCTAACCTTACCTAATCCAAAATTTAAAGCATCAATCTCGGTCCAATTCTGTGTTGGTTCCTTTCCCTCCTGGCACCTGCCATATTCGGCCTGAGTGATTAGGGAAGGAGAAGGATAATTCTGATCACTCATTCATCCTATCCCACGCCTGGGTTCTTTCTTCCTCCAGTGTATTGGTGAGAGCTAGGGCTTCAAAGGTTGCCACGGGCTAGATCCTGAAGAATCTTCTATGTCAAACTAAAGAACTTGGCCTTTATTTTTAAGGAGATACAGAAAACATTAAAGGAGAATTACACAAACAGATTTTCACTTTAGAATGACCCCTTCACCACACTGTAAAGAGTAGATTAGAGGAGACAAACAAGGATTTGGATTACAAAGAGAACACGGGCCTCTTGAAATCTCTCCCAAAGAGATTCATACGTTTCATACGTATGAACATACTTCATACGTTTCATACGTATGAACATACTTCATACGTTTCTTCTCACAAACTTGTCTCAAAATGCCATGTGACCTCCACTGGCTTTGAAATACTCCTGAAGAATCCTTCCTCTAAACTTGGGCAAGTCTGACCAACCATTTTTAGGACTTATTAAACCCCACTATGAGGAAAAGGGCATTCTGCTTTATTAATCTTGGCTGAAGAGTAGCAAGATATTCAAATACAACTCTTTTGTCTTGGAGTTTCACCAGTGGCCCTGAAGTCTAAGCACAGTGTCCAAATTAAGGAGCAAGACCTCTGAAGCAATACATCCTAAGGACTGTGAAACTGAGTCTACCAACATTGCTTAATCTCCCACCTCCATTTCTGTAAATATTGAAACTGAAAAAGCCTATAAAGGGAGGGCCTTTGGAAATTGTTCTGGGTGCTACGGAGGGGAGGAGATGGGGAAGGAGAGGAAAAAGTACTTTCCTTCACCTTAGTCCAGGTGACAGGAGCTTCTCTGAACCTCTCAGAAAACTTGGCCTACAGCCTCTGAAGATTGGGAGACCAGAGACTGGACTCTGCCTCTGCTGCAAGAAGTCCAAAGATGCAAGGCTGTAAATATTATTAGTCTGTAAATAGCAGAGAGAGCTGCGTTAGCAATATTTACGGTTCCAATGACAGTAGGCAAAGGAGCTTGTCTCCTGGGACCCAGATGTGGATCCAGGGTCAGAAAGGCAACCTGGTGTGTGAGAGGTGAGCCTGGAGAAGCCAAAGGCCCCCAGTAGGGAGACATATTGCTGGAAGCTTATGGCTAAAGGGGGACTCAAAAAGAGCCAGATATGAGAACATTACTTGTTTAAAGGGAACTGCAGTCACAGGTCCTTTAGCAGGAGGGTCCCAGGAAAAAAAGCACCCCAAGAGAAGAAGAGCCAACAACTGTCTAGCTGTCATCTTTGACACACGTCTTATCTATGCCCCCTGCCCCTAACCCTGGGTATCCTGTGACTCTCTTTTAACCAGCTGGATGTGGCAGAAATGACATTGCAGGACTTTTGAGGCTAGGTTAGAGAAGGCAATGCCGCTCCCACTTTATTGCCAGATACAACTATATCAGTCAAGTAAAACTTTTCTTACCTCTTATCTTTCTTCTCCAGAGAAATGGGAAATCATACCTAGGAGTGGAAGAGGAAGTAGAATTACGAAATTATAAAGAGGTAGAGCATGCTTCCCGCGTTCCTGGTCAGGCCTAAGCTGGGGGACAGGAGAACCCTAAATTAGATAAGAATCCTAAATTTTGATACTATACTTGACAACAATTTTTATTTGCTAAAACGAGACTTTCTTGTGATTGAAGGAACCAGAAAGCCCTTCTACCTACCAAATATTTCATCCAGGGCAGGAAAGAGTAAGTCCAAAAGCAGATTTGAAAGGAAAGAATAAAAATAATTCACACACTACTGAGTCCAGTTTATTTGATAAATGTGTACACGATTTATGATATGTTTTGAAGCAGACGTAAAACAAGAGCTATGGAGTCAACAGAGAGCTGGAATTACATAGAAAGCAAAGGCCATAGGGTGACTATATCAAGGCCAGCTAAAATCCCTGGCCTGCTCAGGGTTAGGACTTTTTATGAAATAAATAAATTAGCTAATGTAATTGTTTGGACAAGTCATAAAAACAGAAGAAAGCAAAACTGGGTTATACTTGCTCTTTATTTTATACATTTCTGTTAAAACTTTTTGGTGTTTTTTTTTTTTTTTTTGGAGGGGGGTAGGTAATTCCTGGAAGCCCAGTGGATGTTGAGTAATATGGGATTAATTTTAAGAGCATAAATTATTCTTATGTTGTGGGAAGACACACTTGACCCGTAGATGAAGTGGCATTTCTGCAAGCAATCTGTTTTCTATTTCTTTCCAATAGCAAGACAAAAAACTTGTTTTTCCCTTATGCGGTCTTTTACAATATGTCCTATAATTTAAATTTCCTCTAAAGAGATATGTGTTCCTTTTTTCTTTTAATGATCAGAAATTTTCATGTCAAGAAAGATATGGTGCCTATATCCCCTCCTCAAAATCTGGGTGGGCATGTGACCCATTTTTAACCAATAGAATGTGGCAGAAGTGACATTGCATGACTCCCAAGACTAGGTCAGAAAAGGCAATACAGCCCCCACTTTGTTTGCTGAGATAATGACTTTGGGACCACTGATGCTACAGAAAGGGGATTACCCTGAGACTGCCATACTTTGAGGAAGCCAAGGCAACAAGGAGAGTCCAAGTAGAGGTGGTCCACTTGACACCCCTGTTGATGTCACAATTGACAAATAATGTCAACCACCAGGGAACTGAGAGAAGACACCCAAGTGACTCCAGCCCCCACCCCTTGAGCCATCTCTAGCCACCAAGTCTTCTCAACCGAGGCCCCAAAGTATGAGCCTCTGCTTTCAAGCCATTGAACTATGCCTCATCCACATTTCTGAACCTCAGGATCTGTGAGCATAATAAAGTGTTTATTTTAAGCTGCTAATTTGGGAGTAATATGTTACACAGCAGTAGTAAGTACAACAATAGAAATTTTGCAAAATATTGACTGACCTGGTCAATTTCTAGAATTCACAAGCTCCACCAGTTGCTTTATCCTATAGTTCTAACTTTCCCTTATACATCTGTCATGCATTGAGTTCTGTCCCCCAAAATTTCATATGAAGTCCCAGCCCCAGTACATCACCTTACAGAGGATGGTCCTTTACAAATTCTCAGACAGCTGTCTGTCTCCCCTGAGTATACTCTTCAACAAAAGAAGCTTCCCCAGGCTCATGCAGACATTCCTTATATGATATGATTCCTTGTCCCTTCACCACCATGATTATTCTCCTCTGAATTTACGTCCATTTATGCCAAAACAAGAAATAAATTTCCTATAATAAAAACTGTACAGTTGGGCTTCCCTGGTGGTGCAGTGGTTGAGAGTCTGCCTGCCGATGCAGGGGACACAGGTTCGTGCCCGGTCCAGGAGGATCCCACATGCCGCGGAGTGGCTGGGCCCGTGAGCCATGGCCGCTGGGCCTGCGCGTCCGGAGCCTGTGCTCCGCAACGGGAGAGGCCACAACAGTGAGAGGCCCGCGTACCGCAAAAAAAAAAACAAAAAACTGTACAGTAAAACCACAGACTACCTCACAAAGCAGTGAGTTTACTGTCACTGAAAGAAGAGCTTTGAAGACCCACAGATGCTGTAGAGCAATTACTAAATCAGAGAACATATTAGACTCACTGTCCTCAAGGATACCTTTTGATTTTATGATTTAATAATGTATTAGACACCTGAGATTCTGTTTATATTCTCTCGTGAACTGAGTAATAAATGAAGAACAAAAGGGGCACACAATTAAAAATTCTGATGATAGTATATTTTAGTAAGGCTTCACAAAAGAGGAAAACTGCAGAAATAGAAATGAGGACATTCTGAACGATAAGCAGCAAGCTAGTTATCTATCATAGCATCTCATTTACCTTCCCTTTGGATAAGCTAGGTCTTTAATCCTACCACCAATGCTCATGAGAACATTTTTACAAATGCAGGTTTATGGAATTAGATCTAATTGCTTGATTCTTTTTATTGACGTTGAAATCAGAAAGCTCAGAGGAAGATTTCTTTCACACGGTTAGCCCCGTGGCATTTTCATACAAACCTATCTATAGATCAATCTCTAAAATATGGTTCCTTTTAGTAGAACGTATTTGAATAAAGCTTTTACCTTTGAACAAAAAATGAAAAGGCTGAAAGGAAGTTATTGTGTGCCTGACCCAATGCACAACTAGGTTGTGAATGGTTCTAAGCCATCCAGCTTCCTGCATTCCTTAACAATGCTGCTGAGCAAGAGAACTTGTCTACAGATAGAGAATTCCTAAGATTCTGTGTGCCTACGTTCAAACTCCTATTCTGCTCATAAAGCTAAATGAGCTTCAGCTGTGACACTTGCTATAAAATAGCAAATACAGAATATCATACCCTCAGCATACCAATATTTCTGTCATGATCCCACCTTTGCTCTGGAGATAGGGGCTTTTCCAATTCACAAGCTCTTCACTCCTTGAAAATACTCCAGAAAAGAGCAGGGTAGGGGTCAGGGGAAAGAGTTGCCTAAGGAGAGTGAAGGGGCCTTGTACCTTTGTATGATTTCTCAAAAAAGTGGCTTCATTCCTTAGCTCAAAATAAATTTAAATTTAACGTCAAAGATTTAAACAAAACAAAACAGAAACCACAAAATATCCAGGAAAGAAAAATGAGGGATTCTTTTTGAATCTTGAAATATGACCCTTATAAACATGACCCCAAACACAAAATCCATAAAAGTAAACTGTTTAACATCATAAATTTCTAAACTCTCTGAATGACAATAAATAATCAAACAAAACAAAACCACTGGCAACAGTTTCTATATGAATAGAAACTAATATAAACAAACAAAAAATGCTTAATTTCATTCATAATTTTTAAAATGGAGCTCAAAGTGAGGAAATTGCATATTTTACCTATCAGATTAGTATTCATTTTAAAAGTAAAAGCCAGTGTTGTCATGAGTGGAAACAAACAGGCCTTTTCATACACTGTTAATGAAGCAGTAAATTGTTACAAAAATTTCGAAGGGCAATTTGGCAACATCTATCTCTGATGCTTTTCATCAGTTTTGGAAAATATTGGCCGTTATCTATTTGAATATTGCTTCTGTCCCATTATCAATTTTCTTTTAATACTCCTATTATGTATATGCTACCTAAAATAATCTTGAAGAACAGAGCTGAACAACTTACACAACCACAGATCAAAAACTATTATAAAACTATAGTAATTAAGACTGTGATAATAATGCAAGTATAGACAAACCAACTATGGTAGGCAGAATTCTAAAGATACCAACTTCCACTTCAAGATCACTATTCACTGTTATTTAATCAAACCTAATCAAAATACTGCTGTGAAGGAACTTTGCAATATTATTATGGTTACTAACCACCTGACTTGAAAATGGAGAGATTATCCTGGATTCTCCAGGTGGGCCCAATATAATCACATGAACCCACAAAAGCAAAAGAGGAAGGCAGAAGAGCCAGTCAGAGTTGCAGCAGAAGGGGTAGTAGGAGAGATTCTAAGTGTGAGAGAACTTGACTTGCTGTTTCTGGAGGGCCACACAGAAAGCATGAAAAGGAATGCACAGCCCTGAGAAGCAAAAACTAAACCCCAGCTGACAGCCAACAAGGAATTGGGGAACTCAGTCCTACAACCACAAGGAATTTAATTCCAACAACAACCTGAATGACCTAAGAAGCAGATTCACCTCCAGAGCTTCCAGATAAGAGGCCAGCCCTGCCAACACCTTGATTTCAGCCTTGTTAGACTTTAAACAGAGGACCCAGAAGAGCCACACTGTACCTAGGCTTCTGACTCACAGAGCCGTGAAACTTAAAATAGGTGCTGTTTTGAGCCACTAAATTCATGGTAATTTTCAATGACAATGTAATATATTCTCAACATGGAATACTATACAAAAAAAAGAATGAATGATCTACTACTATATCTAATGATACAGATGAATCGCAAGAGCAACGAGTGAAAGAAGCCAAATACAAAAACAGTGTATAATGTATGATTCTCTTAAGAAAAATATAAAAGCTGATAAAACTAATGTATGATGTTTAGAAGGACAATAGTCACCTGTGGGAAGATGGTGAGGGTTTGGTTAGTGACTTTGGAACACAAGGAGAGCTTCTGCAATACCAGTAATATTCTGTGTCTTGATCTGGGTTTCATGACACGGAAGTGTTCAGTTTGTGAAAATTCATCGAGTTTTACAATTACAATATGATCACTTTTCTGTATGTTTATCATACATCCATAAAATATTTAAACAATAGTGGAAGCTAATGTTTGCAGTCCAACTGGACATTCTCAGTAAATTTACATCATAAAAATATTTTTATATATGCAAAAAAGTGGTAGAGACATGAGTAATTTATATTTTTTAAATTAAAATTGTTTAAAATTAAAATATATAAAAATAGGCACTGTACTTTTTCTTAACAGTCTTTTTACATAATGCATCACGTTTGTTTTTGTACTCTTACCTCATTTCTTTTATAAACTGTAGTGTACTAACTAAAACATTAGTCACACCTTTAGAGCACTCAAGCTAGGTTCATCATCATGGTTTTATAAGGATATAAGAAAACTGGAGATGATTTAAGTAATGAATCATAATTTATTCTTGAAAACTTGCCAAATGTTTTAGATCTTGGTTCCTATCTTCCCTTTCAGGTTGTAGTCCCTAATATCTACAAATAATCTACAATTGCTTTTTATTTGCTTTAGTTCTAGCTTTTTATATTCCTTTCCCACACTCCATCTGATTGACTAAACTTGTTACATCTTCAATCTCCCTGATACAATTCACACCACTGGGCTGGACTGTTTTCTGCATCAATGCCTCTGGATGCCTTCTATCTGATTGTAGGCCAGACTTTCCCACAACATACCCTGAAGGATCGTCATCCACTCAATATTTTCCTCATCCCCATATGCAAGTCCTCACCCTTCTCTATCTCCTAGGTTCTGCCCTTTCATGAGATAAGATTCATCTGAAAGAAGACTTTTGATAAATGAGCACACTATAAAATGAGAGCCCAGATCAAGACACAAAATATTACCAGCATGTCTCATAGGACAGTTCACTAAAAGTTTGGATGAGAATCTATTAAAATCATTTATTCATTTAATCAGTATTTATAGTATATCTACAGTTCCAGTCAGGCTTCCAGGTGCTGGTACTACCTTAGAAAATCATGAGGCCCAATTTTTGGTCCTAGCTCTGCCACTTTCTAGCTATCTGATCTTAAATGCATTATTTAATGTTTCTGAGCCTTAATTTCTTTACATCTAAAAATGTGTTAAAACATTTCTAAGATTTCATAACTATCTAAGGAAAATCAGATAAGCCTTACTTAGAAAATACGGGTTGGTTTGGGGGTGGGGAGAGGTGTGGGGCAAAGACTTCCAGTTAAGCAGAGTTAATTGACCATGTTTTTTTAAAAAATTTATTCTCTTTTCATAAACCTCACAAAAAAAAAAAAAAAAGAAGAAGAATTCAAAGGAGATAAACTATGAGAAAAAAAAAAAGAATGGACAACAGCAGACAGAAAATATTTTAACAAATTTAGTGGAAAAGAAGATGGAGAAGGGATAAGTAACTTAGCAGTGTGACCTAAGTGTCTGCAGAGAGGTATACCAGTAAACCAGTCAGTTTGTAGGCTAGAGGCTCAGGGCTAAGACAGTCCAATTCACATGGAAAAGGGTGGGGGTGGGGGATTGGGAGTGGGGGGAGGGGGGTGTCAAGCTGAAGCCAGAGCCCAGCTGAAGGTCTGTATGTTTGTACATTAAGTAGTTGGCAGTCTAGATCTCCTTCCCACCTCACCCATCAAGGACTAGAAATGGACTCAGAGAAGCACTGGACTCTCATGAAACCAGAGAACAGTGTGGCGGGTGGAAGGCTGAAAACAGAGGAGAGGATTAAGAGAAAATCTGAATACCAGAAGCGGAGACTTTTTTCTATCCTACTCTCTACACTACTTTTTTCCACCCTATTTTCAACAGCAGCTGGACATGCAAGCCAACTCCCTCACATTTACCCCCTCCTCCCCAGTTCATGCTTCGTTTAAATATATTCAAAACGTTGTTGCCGGGCATGTGACAGAGATGTAATATTTGGAAAAATTAGCAAGGAAATCTGGCAAATGAAAAGATGAGAGAATTATTAACTGCAGGGAAAAGTATTATATGAGAAAGAGGAGTGATGTCATATACAATGTGGCTTACATTTGCACAGTCATAATGTAAACAATGAGTTGATTTAACCCAAATTTATTGTGTTACTACATCGAGCAATGTAGTAGAAGGGAAGGAGAGTGGTGGGACTTGGGAGTGTGCTAGGTATGATCGTTTGATCTTCAACATACATTCTCACCCTTTCAATGTACCCCCCTTAATCACAGAGGCTAGGAAGATAAAAATGACCACATTTCCCAATTGGTCTTGACGCTACAGTTCTGCATATAATTTAAGCTCTGTCATAAGATGCACTTGCTTGAGATTTGGAAGGCAGAAGTGAGGCAAAGCCCATTTCCTTGTAGCTGTGGTTACTGGTAAACAAGGTTGGACAGATAAGAATGTTTGCAGTGGGCAGACTTCACATTCCAATGTCTATTCAGGACTTAATGGGTGTGCCATGCACTCTGCAAGTACACCATTGAACCCAACAGTCCTGTGTGGTCTTTGCCTCCACTCAGTTGTTGCCTGCCCACCCCGGTAACAATTTGGTAATCACCTAATTCCCTACTCTGAATCCCTAGCCCAAACCAAACACTGAGAAAACTTAAGTCCTAAATGACAAATTGAGAAATAGCGGTATGAGCACATTATTGAGAAACCTAGAATTTCTTTTTTTTAATTTATTTACTTATTTGTTTTTGGCTGCGTTGGGTCTTTGTTGCTGTGCGTGGGCTTTCTCTAGTGGGCTTTCTCTAGTTGCAGCGAACGGGGGCTACTCTTCATTGGGGTGTGTGGGCTTCTCATTGACGTGGCTTCTCTTGTTGCGGAGCACAGTCTCTAGGCGCCCGGGCTTCAGTAGTTGTGGTTCATGGGCTCTAGAGCACAGGCTCAGTAGTTGTGGCACACGGGCTTAGTTGTTCCGAGGCATGTGGGATCTTCCCTTACCAGGGTTCGAACCCATGTCCCCTGCGTTGGCAGGCAGATTCTTAACAACTGCACCACCACGGAAGTCCTGAGAAATCTAGAATTTCTTACCAGGGAAATCAGTTAGCAGAGTGAGAGTGAGTAGAGTAGCATTGGAGAGCAGACCTGGGGATACACAGAAGTGAATATAATTTATAGATTATACTGCAGGTATCCTAAAAGCATAAACTATGTCTGGCTTCATTCCCCTAATATTGTTGCAAGGTTAAAGGTAATACTGAAACAGGAGGGAAGGAGGCAGGGCACAGCCTTTGAAAGAATGACATAGCCCGAGGACATGACATAAACTGATTAGCGCCAAATGGATCCAAGATGGCAGACGAGTCAACTTCCACAAGACCTTGAGTCTCAGTATACACTCACTGTGACACATCATCAACTAAATGACACACCCACAGGCGCCATGACAGTTCCAAGGTCAACCATAAGGATCAAAAAGTGGGCAGTGGGGGCTTCCCTGGTGGCACAGTGGTTGAGAGTCCGCCTGCCGATGCAGGGAACACAGGTTCACGCTCCGGTCCGGGAAGATCCCACATGCCGCGGAGCGGCTGGGCCCGTGAGCCATATCTGCTGAGTCTGCGCGTCCGGAGCCTGTGCTCTGCAATGGGAGAGGCCACAACAGTGAGAGGCCCGCGTACCGCAAAAAAAAAAAAAAAAAAAAAAAGTGGGCAGTGGCCCAATTCCTGGAAATCCCCACCCCTTCCTGAAATAGTTGGAATACTCCTCCCACTCATTAGCCTATGAAATTACCCACCCCTATAAAAACTGACAACCCCATATCCTGGTGCCTTTCTCACCTTCTGAGATGGCCCACGCTCTGTCTGTGGAGTGTGTTTCTCCCAAGGCTGCTCTTGCCTTCTGAGATGGCCCACACTCTGTCAGTGCAGTGTGCTTCTCTCTAAATAAATCCACTTCTTACCTATCACTTTATCTCTCACTGAATTCTTTCTGCGATGTGACATCAAGAACCTGAGCTTCATTAAATTCTGAAACCAGGTGTGTGATCTCACTTGGAAGACTGTGGGTTTTGGCCGGGTTCCAGTCCCAGTACATGTGTTCAAGTCCCAATCTGAGGGTGCACGGTTTCAATATTACTATAGGGCAGTTTTAAACACCTACACAGATGCCAATTCTCTTCTCCAAAAATTTTTCTTGTGTCAGGTTTATAGTATTCATACAGCCAAAGGAGGAGGTACATCCAAGTATTTCACAATATATACGTCTCACCATACATCTCTTCATTGTCCTCTGAAAACAAAAGAAATAGTATGTGTTAATACAAACAAAATGTTTTGATGCTTTCTTTTTACCCCATTAACAAGGAGTTTTACTCTCTCCCAAATCTCTAAGAATTTTCAGGAAGCTTAAGGTCCCATGATCATTTCTGGTTCTGCATCTACTGAATTACCACTTTGCATTTGCTAATTCTTCAGCCCAAATGGGTTCACACAAGGAACTCACCTTCTGTTTTTGCTTTCTCTGTCTCATCCCTTCAACCACCCAAAACAAACATTTATGTACACACTTTCACACATGCTTTTGAGAAGAGCTGACTTTGTCAAGTTCTGGGGAATATAGAGGGAATTTACCCTGGAGAAATATAAACATCTGAAAAATAAAGTTTTAAATTCTTGTTCCTAAAAAGCCCTGTGATCATTTCTACAACTGCCTCCTGCTTTTAGCTCTTCTCTTCCTGGTACCAACCCACACAGGAAAAAAAAAAATTGTATTTTCTTATGTGGAAAAACTGAAGTCACTCCAACTCTCTATTTCAAACTCATCTCAGGGCCTCCCATTACACAGCCCAGGAGTCAGTAAGAAACTTAGAAATTACCGCTGTCCGTTCAGCCACAGCACATTTTCAGAAAAGAGCCAAAGCTTTTCCCTATTTTTGTCCCAAGGTAAGGTGTAGAAGGTTTTTAATTCAAATGGTGCAAAGGATGACTTTCTGATTATCAGGACAATAAAATAACAAGAGGAATGCCAAAAGGAAATCATAATGTGCCATACTTGAAAATACTATAAAAAAGAGAAATAGTAAATCTCTCCTGGATGGTTTATGTCAGCTTTTGACGGTCTTTTTGCCATTGGGTGGTAAATCTTCATTCACTGCCTCCTTCAGGAGCCCACAGAATAAGATTAGGTAAAGAAAGCCCAAGTTATCCTTGAAAATAAATCCCTTCCTCTGTGTCTGTGTGTGAGTGTTTTTATTTAATCATGTCTTCATATCGTTAACATTTTTTCTGCATGGCAAACATGTCATAGGCACTATCTCTCAGTTTTCTTATTTTGATTTCTGCATAAGTAGTCATTGGATTATAATGTAACTCAAAAGTATTTTCATTCAGGAAGCCAGTTTCTGAAACTGCAAAGTGGTAAATATTTTATTCTTTAGACAAGTACACTTATTGAATGTTTCTAGACCCACTTTCCTCATTAAAGATTGAAAGAATCTGAAGACTGAAAGGTTAAATACCTTGAATACTTATTTATTACTTTCATTTATTAATGAGAAATATATAAGTGAACTTGTGATTTTCAGGCTTTTAAAACACCTTGAGTCATAATTAACATATTCTAAAATTTGCCCATTGTAAGTATACAATGATTATTAGTAAATTTATAGACCTGTACAATCACCATCAAAATCTAATTTAAAAACATTTCCATCACCCCCCAAAATTCCCTGGTGCCTATTTGCAGGCACTCCCATTCCTACTCTCAGGCCCAGGCAATAACTGATTTATTTTTTGTCTCTGTAGATTTATCATTTCTTAAGATTTCTTATAAATAAAAGGATGCAATATGTAGTCTTCTGTGTTTGGCTTCTTTCACTTAACATAGTGTTTTAAGGTTCACCCATATTGTGGCATGTATCAGTAACTATTCCCATTTATTACTGAATGTACAGGTAGATACACCACATTTTGTTTATCCATTCATCACTTGATGGACTTCTGGGTTGTTTCCACTTTTTTGGCTAATATAAATAACGCTGCCATGAACAGTCATGTGCAAATTTTTGTGTGAACACATTTCCAGTTCTCTAACAGCTGGGTCATATGGTAATTCTATGTTTAACTTTTTGAAGAACCACCAAACTGTTTCCAAAGTAGCTGCACTATTTTTGCATTCCTACCAGCAATACATAAGAATTCCAATTTTTACACATCCTCACAAAAACTTGATATTGTTAATCTTTTTTATTATAGCTATTTTAGTGGGTAAGTAGTAATATCTCATTGTGGTCTTATGTTGCGTCTTCCTAATGACTAATAATGTTGAGCATCTCTTCATGAGCTTATTAGACATTTATATATCTTCTTTGTGAAATGTCTAGTCATATCTTTTCCCCATTTTTAAGTTGGGTGGTTTGTCTTCCGGTTACTGAGTAGTTGTGTTCTTTATATAGTCCAGATGCAAATACTTTACCAGATGTATTATTTGCAAATACGTTCCCCCAATCTGTGGCTTGTCTTTTTAAGACTTTCAGGTTTTGAAATGGGGGAAAAAATGTAATGGACTCAATATTATATAAGAAAGATACTTAATCTCCTAATAATTTTATTCTTTTAAATCCTCAAATGCAAATTTTAGAGCTTCTGGGTAATAACGCAGACCAAATTTGCTAACTGGAATTAAAGTTTACCCCCTAGAGGATGAACTGTAACACAAGAAAAACCTTTTAGAATATGTTTTGATATAAGACTAGTAGCATACTAGCCTCAAGTGGCTAACTGTCTTGTGGAGGGTAGGGGCAGGGGGGATTGGAGGGGGGGGGGGGGGGGGGGCGGGGGGGGGGGGGCGGGGTGGGCAGAAGGAGATCCTAAGTTGTATCATTGCCAATTTCCATGGTGTAAATACTTCCCCTTGGACCTTTCAAGGTACTAATGGTTTAACAACCAGCTCACAAATTCCTGAATATTCAGCTATTGACTCTAGAGAGCCAGAAAGAGCTAGCTCTAGCACACTACTGAAAATCCATGATTAGACTGACAATAAGAAGTCTTGAAGAGAAATCCCTTTAAAATTTAAAACAAACAAACAAACAACAAAAAAAAAAACTACTGCTCTGAAGGAATTTACAGATTACCAATAAAGAAGTCACTGATCCTTTACATAAGAATGAAAGGAAGATGAGTTTTAAAAAATCTAGGTCTACAGATTATAAAAATATATTTTATGGCTTCCCTGGTGGCGCCGCAGTGGTTGGGAATCCGCCTGCCGATGCAGGGGACGCGGGTTCATGCCCCGGTCCGGGGGGATCCCACATGCCGCAGAGCAGCTGGGCCCGTGAGCCATGGCCGCTGAGCCTGCGAAAGTTCTACAAAGGATGAAAATGAATATAGAAATATTCTCTAAAGCAGAAAATGGAGAACATTTTATAACAATGGTATCACTCCATTAATCAGGCAAACTGACTGGAGCAAACTGTGGTAGCTATGGAGAATTCATTCCATATGGTTTGGGTAGTGCTGACTTTTCCCATCTTTCTACAGCTGCAAACACACAACCCTGGCCCTCCAATCAGAATATTTCACCCCCTTATCCTCTGAGATTAGTTCAGAAAAGGCAAATGAACCAATCCAGAGACCTACCTAGAACTTTCACTGGAAGGAGGTGTACAGGTATGCCCTGCTTTTGGAAGGTTTGCTTTATGCCACTTCACTTCTACTAAAGACCTACATTAGTAGGTCTTTTACTAACTAAAAGAAATCCAAAGAGGACTTCTGCTTTTACGAAAGAAGGCAAAAAGTGAAAATAGCATTCAGGGTTTGTTTTGCCGTGAGCTGTTACAAAGGAAGTTGTGCACTCTGAGCAGTGACAGTGGCACTGCCAAGCTCCCTCCCTAGGAACTACACTCAGTATCTCATCTAGCCGCCAGAGCTTTGAACTGTGTATGTGAGCATCTGTGCCTTATGGAGATTTATTTTGTGCATTCACTAGCAAGAGGTGTCCTAAAATAATTGCTTCTTTGCTTTACACCACTTCAGCTCACGAAACGTTTCATAGGAATGCTCTACTGTTGGATAGCAAGGGAAACCTGTATTCTGTTAGCTGAGTTCACTAGGCAGGAGGACAATGAAGCCTGGAGTTGTAGTTTCTCAAATGGTGAACCATTCTTCTCCCACTATTTAGTTATCAGATTTGAAAGGGAATTTTTTAAAAATCAATTATCCCATCCCTCTTTCTACAGTGCAAAGCGTTCCCCCTAGCTACTGGTCTAGAAGTGATCCAGTCAGGGCAAAGGTTAGAACTTTCAGTTAGTGGTTAAGGAAGTTAAATGCTCTCTTTTCCAGAAAGTGACCCAGTGGCCTCTAGCAGTCATGAGAAAAGTCAAGCTGAGGATAAACCAAACACAGGGAGGATGGCAAAGCCTAGAGAATTTCAGAGAAAGATCCAGAATCCTGATGAAGCCTTTCTTGAAGAAGTTGTGTGGACAAATCTTTTTTGTTTTAGTTTTTGCTTTTCAGCCAGTTTATATTCAATTTTCTATTACTTGCAACAAAAGCAACTTTATCTGGTTGAACATCTTTCTGACCTGGTTTGTTTTGTTTTGTTTTGTTTTTTAACTTCTCTGTATTATTTGACTCTGCCAGTCACTTTTTGGAATTTTGTCCTCCTGGGGCTTCAATCTTTCACTCATCTTCTGCTCTTTAAAGGCAATCAGCACATCCCTGGAAACAAGCATGGAAAGACATGTACAGCACAGCACACTGTTGTTGATCCAGGGTCATCTCTCTTTTTTCACCAGCAACCTCATTTCACACAGGTCTATGTGACCCAGTTTTGGACTGTATCCTCACTCTAACATTTACTGACCTAAAACAAATAGAGTGCCAGTTATTTCTCCAGCAAAAATGAGTTTATTCAGGGTCAACAAAGAATTGCATGAGCAATCACGGTGAGCTACATTTGAGTACCCTACCCCCACCCCTCAGCAAAAAGGAAAGGAAAACTATTTTAGAGAGGGGGAAGGGAAGTTGGGAGGTCTATAGTACACAAAGAGTCTATTGGAGGAATTGAGAGTTCAAAGTATAGTGGCTTTTCATTAGTTAACTCGTGACAATCTCTCATAGGTTGAGCTCTTGCCAGGCAAGAAGAGGAAGTCTTTCTTCTTCCTGTTGGTCTCCACTATCACCCTAGGGTTTGAGCGCTCCCCCTTCTGGACTCCCAACACTATTTTAACTGAAATTTCAGTTTATTAATTTTTACTTGCCCCCCTTTTGATCAAGATTTCTCTCTCT